AGCCCTTGACATAATTGCGAATATACTTAATGTTTTTTATTTGGAATATGCCACTTACTAGTTTGTTTAAGTACGAATTATGCTTACTTCATCTAATTTTCTTTATACTTTCCATGTATCATATGCTTTCGAATAATTTTATTTCTCGCTAATTTATCTATAGATTCAGTAATCAGTGATCTCTGAATAGTTCGGTTAATCATATTCGAATAATTCTATTAAGTCATTGATTTCCCCGACATATCTTACATTCAGTTGAATATATATTTTGTAAATAATTCATTTGTTCACAAAATGTTATATAACACAGTATAGTTTTTACAACTGAGAAACAAACAAGCTTTAAGAGATTGAAAAATTCAAAACCTCTAACATCTTTGGTTGACAAATTTCTCACCAAAATCTCTTCAACATTCTGAAATTTATTTGTTGATTAAAATATAAAACTTTGAAGGAATAAATCATTCAGAAGAATTCCTTCAGTGTATTGATCATTTTAGAAGTTGTTGTACAATTTACAAACAAATTTAAAATAACTATATCAAAATTAGTTTCACTTAAACGTCAAAAACTTCTTTTATTAAAGATTGTATTTAATAACATCTCTTAGTTCATTAAATGTTTCACCCCCCCCCCTAGATGTTAATATACACTTAATGATCAATTCAGTATTAAGAACTAGAAACAATTATAACTAAATAAACAGTAGTAGGTTTTTTTTTAAATGAGTAGTAGTGATAACAAAATGAAAACAAGTTTGTTTCTATAAGATATTCGATAAGTAATTGATAAAAATAATTCATGTTACATTTAAAAATAAAAACACAACGTATTATTCATTTCATTTTATTTCATTCTTTACACTGGATCAAATTGAGATGATATTTTGATCAATATTTTTACTTTATTCAATGGAAACATTCTTTCAATAAATACGTATCATAATAAAATATAAAAATAACGAAATGGAACTGTTTAACATCTAATAATAAATATCTTTATATTAAAAGAGAAAGAATAGTAAATAAGTCATTTTTCTTTTTGTTTAGAAAGAATGAAGAAAATGATTGTGATGGAATGTTAAATAGTCTATATTATATATATATGTATATACTATACCCTTTATGGTTAATTATTGATGTTTATTATAAGTTTTGTAATGGATCTAGTCTCAAATATTAATTGACAGTGATAATATTAACTTATAAGTTTGTAAATTTCATTGTTTACCTCATTAGGGCAATCGATATGTAAAACAAAATTTCTTTACTCATAATGTCAATACATTGTTTTGAGAGCTAATAGACAATGATGTCGCTAATAAAGTGATTTAATGTGATAAATTTTATTTACAGTCAAACTTAAAATCATATTGATACGTCACATAGTTTGTTCTCTTCCTATAATTAAGGTAAAATAAAAATTTAAGCCCTTATGATATGATCTTAATTGATAATATGTAAGATAATTAAATGATCATTCTAATAACTTATAAGGACAGAAGGTGATTTGGTCAAAATTAAAATGACTACTCAATAAAAAGTAGCGAATCGTTTGTATGTATGCCACGGGAATATAGATGAAATAATACCCTTATTAATCGATGGCTTAAAGCACATCAAAGAAACAGAAATAGACCAGTTTGAGACAAAGATGAAAGGGGAAGCAGATAGCTGTAGAGGAAGAAAAGTATGCAGAGAAAAAACTATGAGGCATTAAGACCATGGTAGAATAAGAGATTGTATCGATCTCTTTCGGATACAATTCTGGTTTTCCCAGATATATGGTATTACTACGGCAATGTTAAGAAGGTGCAATATAACAGCTTTTGACAGATGAATGAATGCAGAATCTGTCTGGCTTGAGTGACATGTGTTCTCAAAGTATCCGATTACTAAGCTTCTATGATCATCCTGATTAAGTTTCATCTCAATTTCAATATTTTATCATGTTGAGCCATCCTTTCCCAATGATAATTTTCCTGACTATTTTTATGATGAATATTTAGGCCCTTAACAATAAAACTATTATAAGTTTCCTTGATTAACATTTTTTGATACCGTTGTTCATTCTACCTCATTGTTACTATGTTTAACAGAAGTTGAATATCATCCTGAAAAATAAGTATATATATTTGAGATTGTATGGCTTTGAAAATGAATTCCCGAAAAGAGAACTCTTCGCTGAACCAATATTTTTTATTTAAATATAGCACGCAACTGGAAGATCATTGGTAGTTATGTAACCTTCAGTTTTGACCGATAGCTTCAACACTTAAAAATATAGAACAACATATATAAGTGAATGATATTGTTTTCGATTAGATCCTCATCAGGCTTTACTCTAATATACAGTAATATTTATATGCATATACGAAATTACTAAACCAATCAAGGTAGTTTATAAGTCAATGATAACAATGGAAAAGGATTACATAATAAGTAAAATGTGAAATTATCCCTGACAATTTCATCTTGCTTTATTAATGGGGTATGACAACTTGGACCGATGTACACATTTACCAGGTTCTACGCTGGGTCTATCTGACTGACTGAATTATGTCATTATGATAGATTTTTTAAAAGTAAAACAAGTTTTCATGTTGTAGTTAGATATATAAACCATTAAACTGGATAAAAAATGAATACAGTAGTTACGGAAGTGATAGAGCTTATCTACATTATAATATGTCACTCAAATTAATCAAGAATATTTGTAGATCAGGTAAATACTTTTGTCGCGTTACCTGAGCTAAGCAATTTATTAGTGAAGTATTTATTATTTTCTTGAACATCGTCTACATTTGTTATTCAGAAGAATAATAAACTCTTCACAATCAAACTGGTTAGAGAAGATAAGTCAATACATAACCCCCTCTCAACTCCAGAATGTTTCGTTGGGACAGGAGTTAAAACATTGATGTTTATATTCACTGGAGTAATATATCTAAATAGAAACTACATAAAATTATAATTATTTCTAATATTTCGGGTTTACTTGTATTGTACTATCGCGTTAACGTTTTGCATAGAGACTACTTAGAACTAGATATCATGTGGAGGTTGATCAGAAACAAAACAATATAACGATTCTCCACTTGTTAAAAAATTTATTTACAAAACTTCATAACCACAGGTTATACAGAAAAAGTGTTAAGTGAGGATAGCCAGTCATTTAGTGGCCATATATCTGACCTTATTTGGATCATATGAATGATTGCTATGAAGATATACATGCCACCAAGCCTCGTATAGTTTCATAAACTTAAATCGGAACAAGTCAAGTACGAGGATGAATTTTGAATGAGTAAATTTCGCACACTCATTGATCTGAACTGATCATCAGTGAAACGAAGTGGAGAGGAGAGAGCCATGCCAAACGAAATGACACGTAGTGGAGAGGGCAAGTGAGACAACTGCAATGCTCATCATTTCATTTCACTTCGCCTCCTTCGTTGCATTTCCCTGATTGTCCGTTCAAATCAACGATTGCATGAAGTATGCGTATTCAAAATTCAATATCGTGTTTGACTTATTTTAATTCCGTTATACACTAACGCGAGTTAAGTTTATTATATACGAGGGTAGCCAGGTTGTATATTTTAATAGTAATCAAGAAACGATCTAACGGGAGTCAGATTTATGGTCACTAAACTTTCCAGTGAATCAATTTATTTGTTCTTAAGAAGTGTCCATGAAACAGTTGTCTTCAGGTAATTTTACGCAGACCTACTAATAAGTTTTCTTTTGATTCGGTATGATTATAAATTATCCCATTGAAGAATAACAATCAGATAAAGATGAATGGATTGTTCAATATTATAGCAAAAATGTTTTCATTGTATATTGGTTGAGATTTATCAATTATTCTATATTGTCGTTTTGTATTTTAATTGTAAATAAGAACATCAAACATCACTGATAATCATTTCTTTAACCTTGTGATATTTTAATTACAGATTTAGAAGAGTAAACATCTCAACATGAAAATAAATATCATGAAAGAACTGAAACAGTAGAAACATTATTCTTAATATATTCAAGAAAAGAACACAAATCAATCTATTTTTTTATTTATTGTTCAGTTGAGAAAAAAAAGTTAGTCAACAATCATAATCAATTATGTACACCTTAGAAACTAATTTTTTAAAAAATAACTAAATAATCATCAAAAATCATTATTGTACCAAGTTATATGAATGAAAGAGAAAAAAAACTCGATAGTATTTATTTTAAATAATAATAATAATATGGACTATTCAGATAAACAGTGAAAGTAAACAAAATAATAAAATCAAAACAAGAAAAACACAAAAACTCATATTAACATTTGAATTTACTTCTAATAATTTTTTTTTCTTTATAACAAAAAAACCACCATCATCTATCGAGAATTTCAATAAACATAAACTCTGATGAACAAGCTTATATATATATAGTAAAACAATGGATAAACGATAATATGAAGTCAATGGTCTCAATATCAATAATAATAATAATAATAATAATAATAATAATAATTAATTTGGAACTAATGGTTTATATTGGCATAGATTGTCTTTGTTGTTAAAAAAAGATATCAGTTTTCATTGGATTTTATACATTAATTAACAAAATAACTATTAGTTTTATTTGGCTGTTTATTGTTTATTATAAAATAATACAGAATGTTAGTATTGATTGTATTCTTGTAAATCTGAACAGAAAAAATATATATCTGTCGGTCAAATATAAAATAAATGTAATAACTAAACAAAGAAACAGAGCATGAAAGTCTTTGAAACGAAATGAATAATGAAAGAAATCTAGCAAGCCATTGTAGATACATGGTGTATTCATGGTCATCAATATTTATATTAAATAATATAATAAATTGTCAATTTCTTTTGTTTTATGTTGGAACATGTAATTAAATGGTTATGTATGTGTACACTTTAAATTGACTAAAAAGAAGGATACAATGAAATTTTTTTCTTCTTCTTTAAACTATTTTATGCTCACTTTCTGGACGATGTGAAAATTCATAATCTAAGTGTACAAAAGCTCGTTCAACTGTTTCTAATTTTTCCAATTTCTTTTGTAACCCTTCACCAATATCATGAGCTTCTTTAAGACACATTTCTTTAGGTAACACAATGTCAACCTAATGAATAAGAAATGAAAAGTAACAGGGCAACTGATGAATCGATAAGTAATTCGAAAGAAAAATGAGTTATATATATATATATATATATATATATTCAGAAAATCTGACTAACAATACAGTGAGCCAACAATTAAAACAAGACGTAGATTTTGAAAACACTGAGAAAGATAACAGAAAAATATGCAAAAACTGAACTGAAAGAGATTTCAACGGAAGTCTAAGGACAAGACGTAGAAAAAAATCCATGTTTTGTTGTAAACAAATAATTTTTATCCTTGGTTTCTGAATTCCTTTCATATGACCGACTTTTTAACATAAAGTAATTATGATGGACTTAAAGTCATTCTTTGTCATTAACAAGCAATGTTTATTTAAACGGTGTAGTATTTTCAATAGCCTCATGTAATCCAACATATGAGCTTAAACTAGTTTCTATTTACGTATAATTCTGATTCTTAATCTAATAGATATACAATTATTCATCCTGTGATAAGAAAACTATTTATAACGAGTACACAAACTACCTACAGCTACTCAGTACTTAAATATCGAATATGATATCACAACAGGAATACAAAGACATATGAAGATAACAAAAACGAAAACTCAGTCATAAACAAAGTAAACAGGATGAACTGATCGATAAGCATAATGAATGGTAACTTTTGGGATCCATTGATGGACCAATACTAAACGTATGTTTTTTATCGTATAAGTGTTAAATAACTAAACTATTGATATTCGTGTCCCTCTTATTATAAGCTTTATTTTGACCTATGAACTATTATTATACGATCTACCATTCTTGAATTATGCTCTGTCTATTAATCATTACCTCCCACCTTCACAGCCACATCTGGCTTATTTGTGTAAAAATGTTGTTTCATATTTTATTGGTACGTTGTGGTTTGTTTGATTGGTATATAAACTCAGTATGTTTGAAATAAAATGATTCATATCACAGAGGTTGATATTGGTGTTCTGGACTTAACTGGCTGGGCTAGGTGGAAAGCAGGACCAATCAGGGTTCTAGACTGCTCTACGGGTTTTACGCGTCATTGGTCCGATCGATAATTCACTGCTCTCTAATTGGCGGTATCGTTATTTTATACAACAGCGGCGCACACAGGCCACATGTTATAACAGGAGTGAAACCAAAAAGTGTGAACTCTCAGTTAAATATAGATCAGACAAACTAATATATTTCTGATGTTACCAAATAAAGTGAATTAAATTATTTCTGCCATCAAGAGTAGTGTACTTAAAGGTAAACGTGAATGAAAAAAAATTAAAAGAAAAAGTTACTTACTTCAACCAAGAAGTTTTCACCAAAATGAAATGCCCTAATGGTATCCAATTGTTCAATCAACGGATGATAATTAAGACAAACGAATGCAATCTTTTGAATAAATCTTGGATTAGCTGTATGACCAGCTAGATTACGTATCTGTTCTAAAAAAAAGATTATTACAATTCAGAAGTCATTTTATGACTGAAAAATTACATTCATTTAATAATGTAGAATTCAGTACGTATATTGCATAACAACGTTTGTGAATTATGCCTGGCCTCCTTGCAAATTTGATAAACGAAAGTTGTAAATGAAGATAACAGAATAAAAATTATTACATCAGAAATCAACAAATTCTGCAAACACCTTTACAATTTCATTTTACCACACAATCAGAAATTACTATCTGACTGACTTTAGAAAAAAATTACTGACCCGATAAACAATTAAAAAAGATGGAGTTATACTGGTACTATGACCAGTCTGCACTGAATGGGCCAATACCGAGTTGTTCATCTTTTCCACTAGACCTTTGTTTAGCCACGTTGGGACTTCCAAAGAATCTTGGCATTCATATTAAGACGTCTTAATTCTTCCTTCAACTTCCAGGGCACAGTTTAAACTGTTTATTCTAGTTGTCGTTTTCTAGAAAGATTTTTTCTACGGGATGGGGTTCCCGACACCATACTCAACCCTCCTCCTTAACCCGGGCTTGGGACCGACAGTAAAACGGGAAGAGTTACCTGACCCAAATGTATTCTGATAATGAATATCATAATTTGACTTGACGAATAAGCTTATTCAAGTCATCACTTCACGATAGTCATCTCAATATTGGATTTGTTATTGTAAACAATCCCAAGTCAATATGCTATGCTTTAAACAATGTACTTTGTCTCAAACCTGGCCACTCATTTAATTATCGATTTGGATGTAGAATTGTACAACTTGAAGAGAACCTAATAACAAATATATTTTCGCGATATCCCAATAAGAAAATTATATTTCCGGTGATTCGTGACTTAAGGTAAGCCACTTCTTCAGAGTAAATAAACAACGCAGAATAAATTACCACAAGTTCAAATAATACACTAGAAATACAATTTTCTACTCATTGGGATATCAGAAAAATGTATGTTTGTTTTACTAACGTTTTACTCAATGACCTATTGATTTAAAAATATCAAGTCTCATTTGGGCATTGACACCTACAAACTGAATAATAACTGAAGAGAACATTCTTCGTTCATACATTAGTGATATAATTTGATGGAGATTTTTAGACATTATTATCTATCGAAATAGCTAGAATGAACTGTAGTTTTATACACTAAGAAGTTGAATATGTATTCTTCTACAAATAAGATTTAAAGAACTTCAAATCTTATAAAATGCGTCAGTGTATTTCTCAAACATAATCTGTACAATTTCCAGTTCAGATGAGAAAATTATATCAAATAATAAAGCCTTAATCATATTATTAAATTGTTATTCTGCAACTAAATAATCAAACTAATAACATACACCATTTAGGTATTTCAGCTAGAATATAATAGACATTCATGGTTTTACAAACCAATAATGGTGAAGATCTGTTAATGCCAATAAAAAATACATGATAATGATAGAGTGGTTGAATTAGTAATGACATTAGCATAGATTTACCATTAGTGTGATTTGAGGAAAACATCTCAGACTTCGTAGTGTTGTACAAAAGCCTTCAAGGGCGTATTCTAAGATTTATTGAAGCCTTGGCTATACGGAAGCTGAATCCCCTTTATGTGTTCAAAAACAATTTGTTCTCACCCTTAACCTACCCTGATAATACTGGTTTATTATCCAGAGTGTTTTTGTGTACTTTATTTTTCTGCTATTCATTGTTTATAAAAATCGTTTACAAGACCCAGACATTATGAGATGATGAACAAGTTCAACCAAGTGAATAAAACGTTTAACGTTACTCTGAGGAAGCAAATATATATATATTTATTTAAATTAAATTTATAATAGTGGAATATGTTGTCAAAATTTAGCTAAGTAGTAAGTAATGTTTTGTCATTGAAAGTAATTCAAAGTATTTTGTCATACTGTTTTCACAAGAAAAAGTAGATTTCATCTAGTTAGAAATTTAAGGCATTTTAGTATTCCAATCTATCTGAAGAATCAAAAAATAGCTACCTAATAATTTTATGTTTGTTTACAAGGATAAACAAACTTGGATTTAGAATATTTCGAGAGATTAAAACTGCTTGAAATCTTATATTTGAGAGGAGAAAAACGTAACGCCGATGCAAAGTTTGTTTACACTGATAAATTTGCCCTTGGACCTAATCCATATGATCTTAGGATCTATAAAGCATATATCCTCAAAATATTTCATTTATACTTATTCACTTATTCATTACAACAAGTCGTTATACAGATTCAACTTATCAGTCTTTATTTTCGATTCAAATGTAGTTTATTTAATCGTTTTATATCATTCGATAGAAATAATTTATTACTTTAATTTCAAATGATCATAAACCCGCCTTTGAAAAATACTTCATTCATTTATAGGTGCTTCACGAAAACTAGGCATAAATGTACGTCACGAAAACGCGATTTTTGACAAGCTGAAACGTAACTATACTCATATCCTTTTACAAATAAAGAACTTCTACGTTTTCTCTATAAGCATTTGAATTTTCCTGTAGTTGATATCGACTGAGATTAATTAGGTTTTCTGGGCAAAAGTAAACCCTGATAGGATCTCCTAAATATTTCCATTAGGTCAAAAGCAATTTTCGGAAATGCTTGATATTGGTCAGGGGTAGAATGCATAACATGTGTTTTGTCCTGTTTGAGATTCATGAATTGAATGTAGCTGTATCCCAGTGTACGTGTTGACACACAGACTCGAACCCGATGCCTTTCTCTTTGAACGCATAGTGTCACAAGTCAATGGGTAAATGGAATCAGTAGCTAAGTGGACAAGGTGTCGAGCGTTTTAGTCATAAGGCATGAACATCAAGATTGGTGTGCATATGTATCCAACTGATGAATTCAAAATAAGACGAGTCTGGCCTCCTGGATCTTATTGCTAGGCACAACGAAACTCTATTAATAGTTTTATATATGAATGGAAAATATGATCTTGTGAGAATCGTCAACTTACCAGCACCAAGTTGATACCAAGAATACAAAATATAAGAACCAATAAGTATAGCGCCAACGGGATCTAAATACTTCAGATTTTCGTATTGTTCTATAAATAGGAAAAAGAGAATAAATCGAGTCAGTTCATATATATATATATATATATATATATATATATATATATATATATAATTGTACAGTGAAACATTGATTTTTGTAGCATTTTTAATGAATAGATAACATTGTTAAAACAATCGATTACTTTGACCAAATGAATTCATAATGAACAACGAGTTGTTGAAACAATTACAACATTGTAAAATGGAAATGCACATTCATATCAGATGGATTAATACACTAAGTACATGCATGATCAGTGTACATTAAAAATAAAACTCTGCTCACGTGCTAATTTCAATGAAATTAATTTATTTTTAAATTTAAATGAAAAACTGAACAGATAAAAAATGTACAAACTTTTCATTCCATTGACTATTGACGTTTTCCCGGTGACTGAAGCTCATAATCTAAAATGTCACTTAGAATTTCCTTTTGAGTCCTTTAAATATTGTTTGCCAATATCTGACATCAACAATTCCGGTTGATCTATCTTTAGATTGTTATGAAACATTTCGATTGGATAAAAGAATGATCTTTTTCCATAAAAATACTTTCGTCAGATTTATACAATTCAATGACATAAAATCTGAGTTACGTCGCAACGGTAATACAATAAATTACATTTTATATCCCTACGATATTTAATTTACTAGTTCTGATTAAAGATTTTTGAAAATACGCCAAGCAAACTCACTGTGTCCTACATTGTCTTATTCAAGACTTTTATGAATTCCAGTTTAAATAAAAGCAAAAGCGGTGAGAGATTTAAAAATACATGTGATCTACTCAAAAAGAACGTTTTAAAGTAGCATATGAAAATTTATATAACAATTTTCCATGTTTCAACGTTTGTTTCACAAATTTAATTTCTGTGTAAAAATCAATATTTTTGAGTCAACTTTAATATTCAAATACATTTTGAAGGCCAGTGATTATTTGCATGACAATGAAATAATTTTCAGCAGAAAAATAAAACTCAAGTGAAACAAAATCGAACGATTATTTAAATTTATTCAGATTTAAAGCAATTACCTCCTTTGATAAATTTCGATAGTACAGTAATCTTCGCCTTCATTCTACATTATCTAAATTTATTCACTTAAGTTATACATTTTTATTAGTAATTTCCAATGTTTTTGTACTCATGAAAAATGTGAAAACCACTTTAAACTGTTCTTTATTGAAAACAAGGAATATAAATCATGTTCACTGTATAAAATAATTAAGTGTTAAACAAATAAAACAAGGAAACAATGAATTCATTTAGTGATCCGTTGGTTCATTAAGTAAATTATATAATTAATAAATAGCTTGTGTCTGTCTACAGAATATTCTGTTTCATAAATCTTCACTGTTGAAATATTTTGTAGTCATTGGCAACCATGTTGTTCAGTATTGAAATAAATGTAACAAAGTAAAAAGAAACGTGAATAGAAGAGAAAATCAGGAAAAAGCGTATCATACATTTCGTAGAGCCTTTCATGGTGACTTGGTTGCATCACATGTTAACATTCAAACTAGCACAACCAGTTTGCTTTTATTAACCTACTTACAACTAAAAATTATTAGAAATAGTAGGTCGGACTATTTTAAATGTCGCTTTTGTTTTAACTATTTTCATTTAATCAAATCAACACATTTAACTTACAATGATGTAAATAAATGAGAAATTTCTTTTATAAAAACGAACAATGGTAAATTATGATCTAAATTATATGGATTTTATGGTTCCCTATCTGATTAGCTATTCTTATTTGTTCACTATCTATATAAACTGATTACTTAAAATGAATTAATGCTACTCGCATGTAGTAGTCTAGTGAATTGAATTTACACATTCTTTTTATCCAAGCATCTTACAACATTGCTTTATATTACGTAACAAATATTCGCTTTCAGTTACATAAGATCATATTAATTATTATATTATTGACAAAAGAATTCAGATTTCAATATCAATAGAAGCTTAGTTGTAATTCAAATATCAGTAAAACAAGAATCCCTCAATTCATACAAATTTTTACTGTAACATAAACTCATAAGCTTTATTAGACATATGTATTATATAAATGACAGAAAACGTGAGAAATCGTCTTTAAAGGTAAACACTTTTGTTTTTAACAAATTCATGATGACTGTTACAGGCAGTTTATACATCTTGATCAGAAATGTATTAGGTATATTTCAACACAGAATATATATTAATCATATAAAGTATCAAAGAAACAGATAACTTGATAAGATTCATAAAAAAATTGATGATTTCAATGAAAGTGAAAACATTCACAAATCTACTATATAAACGAGTATAACTGAAAACATGGACAAATTCAAAGCAGTAATAGTTTGAATTAAATGAAAATATTTCTTCATGGTCATCAGTGGTTTTATTTCTGGTTATCCATAATGATGAGGTTCGAGTGAACAAGTTATACAATACTGACACTGTGACAGAATTGTTTTAAGATAATCTATTTGACTAATTTAAAAAAAAATTCCTAAATTTGCACTGTGTACTTATAAAAATGTAATTGTAAATATTTGAAAACAGATTTTCCTTTTAATAATGAGGTGTAAGTGATTCAGTATTACACATGTAACTCAACTTGTTTAGTAACATTGTTGGTCTGTGTCTAATCAACTCACCTAGATCCTACTTACAGTATTCTTACTAATCAATAGGAAATCTGACGTCACACCTGAGATTTTTTATTGATGATAGTTTTTACGGAACAAATCTTAAATATTTCCACTCGTATAGAATTAATAAAACAGCCCACATATATCCAGATCATTTCAATTTAATAGTATTCCATTTCATATAAGGTATAAACTTTATGGACATTTTGCTAATAGATACATTCAGCATTATAATATACCATTAGAAACAATACGTAAATAAGGACGACCATAGTGATGATAATACTTCATAAATAAAGTCGATAGCATGTCAAAAGAAACTATTTGAATAAAAAAGTAATTTATTAAAATAGATGAATTGTTAATACAGAAAGTAACAACAATAATAATTTATTATTATTGTTGTTGGTAGCACCACAAATATAAACAGATCTATGACAAATATCACAACGGTAAAACTGGATGTCGTGCGTAAATGAGCAAGTGAAAATTAGAACATGACAATGCAATGAAGATACGATGAGGAAAATAGTGATATTGATTGATGATATATAGATATATATATATAAGCTTGGCAAAACAAGCCCCAGCATCGATAATTAAAAAACTTACTTTGTCGTAGTAAAGGAGCTGTAATGAATGTTGTTCATTTATTTTACAGTGATTAGAACTGAGTAAATAGAAACCCAGAATTACTATTCCTTAATAATTAACAACATCGCTGAACATAAAATTCACATGAAATTCGCAGTAATCATCAATTTGTCCGAACAGACAATTGTTGCTAGATATTATAAATAATTTCCTTGAATAAACTGACAAATAATTATCAGTGATTTTGACTTTTGTGATGGATTCGCGAATGTCGAGTGAGAAGTTTATAAATGATAAAAATCTCAAGACTAGGTCTTAGTGACTGTTTACATTTTCATAGTTTTTATTAGTTTTTCAGCTAATGTTATTTAGTGATAGGAGCAATCTTTAAGTTGATAGATTTCTCATACACATTTGAGCGAAACAATTTATGTGATCCAAGCTCACATGCAAAAATATAAAAGTTCTATAATACCTTACCTAGCAAATATACTCTGTGACGAACAGATTGTTAGAGTTAACCTAGTCAATAATAACCTGCATTCTTAACATGTCTCTAATTTGAAAAGTTGTACAGTTTTCCTTTTTATCTTCTTTTGGCTTTTTTTCTGTTTCTTTTTTGTATAAGAAACTTGTTGAAATACGCTGTGCTGAGAATTCTATATTGTACCAAAATATAATATTGAATAAAGCCATTAATTATTAATAATTATTATTATAGTTTGTTTCTCCAAAATCTACATAAAATAGGTAATGAATAATGAAGTTCAAAATAACTATCCACAATGCCTGCAAGATCAATAGGTTGAAGCACTGTATTACGCTGAATCAATTGATTAGAATAGCCATACTACCTAATTTGCTTCATTTCGCAAACCTGGGTGATATCTACTTTGCTCTCGAAAAATAATTAAGACTCATGATAAAAAACGTGGATTAGATATAAACAACTTATGTTTGAACACAAAATTCTTAGGACATGTCTAGGCAAAACAACAAGACGTAGTTAGGAATGATAAAGAAAGCATACGAGTAAAAAGACTTTGTACAACGATACCAGTCAGTCTGCCAGTAACAACGTAGAACTTCGTACGTACGTACATCAGGGACAAGGAGGAATAAGGAGACCAAAATTTGGGAGAACACAAAGAGTGTATGCACCTGTGCCATCGCAAACGATTTTGAACCATGTCATTCAGGGTCTCTAACCATCGGGTGCTATCATCTCGCGGTCCCCAACCAGGTAGTCTACACCTAGCAACATGACTCAGTCCGCTTGTTAGTGACTTCATGGACTTGTGCCATGTTTTGGTCTGGCCTCCCCTAGCTTTCCTCCAATCTACTCCTATACAACAAAACATCGCATATCGAGGCAGTCGGTGGTTGGGCATACGTAACACATGTCTGAGCCATCTCAACTGATGAAGTTTCACTACGTCATCAATTGATTTGCCATCCTTACCTAGTACCTGTTTCCTATCAACTGCGTTACTTACTCGATGGTCCCAGGATATATGAGCAATAGTTCGAAGACACCTATGGTCAAATACTAGTAACCTACAGATATCCTCTACTCTTACCGGCAATGCTTCACTGCCATAAAGTAGGACGGAACAAACTGCTGCGCAGTAAACCCGTACTTTGGTTGATAGACGGATATCTCGCCTACGCCATAAATGACGCAAGTTAGCAAAAGCTAGTCAAGCCTTCTGTATCCGTTCTGAGACTTCGTCACACACCAGACCACATGGGCTGACGAGACATCCAAGATAAGTGAAGCGATCGACACGCTCAATTACTTCACTCCCTATCATTAGTTCGGGTGTCAATGCAACCCAATCCTGAAGCAACATTTTGCATTTCGAGGGGAAGAATCGCATCCCAAACATGCTTGCATTGTTGATTAGAGTGGTCAGAAGACTCTGCATTTTGTCAGCGTCTTCACCAAATAAAACTATGTCATCAGCATATTCTAAGTCAACAAGTGAACCTCCCGGTAGAAGTTCAACCCCTGGAAATCTAGACGAGGAAAGTATTATCTCTAAAAGTACGTCAATGACAAAGTTGAACGGAGAGAGTGGACAGCCCTGACGAACACCACTTGAGGTAATCAATTCTGATGACAGTTCGCCGTAAGCTCTCACTCGACCAGTTGTGTTTGAGTAGATATCCTTTATAAGGTTAATGTACTTCTTTGGTACTCTTTTCAGTGCCAAACACTGCCATAGAACCTTACGGTCAACAGAGTCGAATGCCGCCTTAAGGTCGAGAAATACTACGATTGTGGGGCGTCTGAACGTGTGTCTGTGTTCTAGAACCTGACGTAGTGTGAATATCTGATCTATACAACCACGTCCAGGTCGAAAACCAGCCTGATTTTCTCTAATCTGTTCCTCCTGAGCTTTGGTTAGGCGTCGAAGTATTATTGAAGCTAATATTTTAGACACTATATTTGTCAAACTGATTCTTCTGTGATTGTCACAAGAGGACATTTGTCCTTTCTTATAGACTGGCACAATCAGTGATTGAGACCAGTCAGATGAGATTACGTCCAGTTCCCAAATTCTACCTAAGACCTCAGTTAATCTCACTGATAATACTGAACCACCATCCTTAAATCTCAGGAGTAAACCTGTCAGGGCATGCTGCTCTCCCTCGCTTCAGATTTCCTATAGCTTTTTCAACTTCGTGAAGAGTCGGAGGGCCTACATTAACTTGTCATTCAGGTTGACTGGAGATTGTGGGAAACCGAAGTGTGGCTGAAGGCCAGTTGAACTGATCCCTAAAGTGTTCTGCCCATCGATCCAATCTCCTGGATTGAGAATGTATAAAACGTCCAACTTTCTCTGAGATAGTTTCGCTAACAGTCGGGTTCCTAATAACGGTTTCCTTAACAAGTCTGAACAATTGTCTGCTATTACCTATTTCCACTGCCTTTTCCATCTCTATTGCTTTCGCTACCCACCACGGTTCACGATCATTGCGTAGACTTCTTGTAAGCTTGCGCTTAAGCTGACTCCGCTTTTCATTATGTTCAGAGCCAGGTGGGATGAGTTTCCGAGCATCTATCAGTGCGATAGATGCTGCTGAGATCCAGTGTTGCTCTCTAACCTTATGGTTTACCTTGTCGTTTCCACAGCTTTTCGGATATCATTCCATGCTGCCTCATGGTGGGCATCACATACATGGCTGCCGAACTATTTTCCTAGTTGTTCTTGAAACATACTCTTAGCTTGACTATCATTAAGTAGGCCCCTAAGAGGTTTACTTGCAGCGTCTTTCCTACGTCCAGTAAGACGCAAGCAAATACGCGCTCGCACTAGAGCATAATCTGAATCTAAGCATGTGCTCCAGAATGAGTGACAGTCTTCTATCGAGCCCCTCCATCGGTGGGTGATAGCGATGTGATCTATTTGGGTGCAACGTTGGGACGAATTCGGGGGTCGCCATGTCAAAAGATGTTTTTCTTTATGCTTAAAGTTAGTACTTGCAAGGAACAGGCGGTTATCTGAGCATAGCTGCAACAGATGGTCGCCATTGTGTTCTTTGAGCCACGATGCTATAAATTCCACCTATATGTCTTTCCCTATCGCTTAGTTTACCTACTTGAGCATTAAAGTCACCGGCCATTATTACTACATCCGAGCGCCTAGCTTTTCGGAGAAGGTCGGAGAGCTTTCTGTAAAACTCATCTTTTACATCATCTGCACTGTAGTCCGTGGGAGAATAGGCAGAGACGACGAAGAGGCAACGACGAGTGTCCCTATCTTTTCGGATCCTTACTGTTCCGTTTAGTCGGACAGCGCACAAACGACTGTCTACTGGGATCCAGTCTAAGAGAGCTAGTTCTGCCCTAGGACTCAATGCTATACCTACGCCGGCGAGGCCACGGGAAGCAGAATCAGGGCTTCCAGATACACGAAGTGTGAATCGAGTCGGTTCTTTATTTTGGCATGGTGAGGTCAAATGAATGATGCTACTTGGATCCTGTATGCGCGTTTCGGAGATGCAGCACACATCGGTGGTGCGGGATTCTAAAGTCTTAGCTAAGGAAGTTTGCTGTCCTATTTGGCACAGTGTTCGGACGTTAAAAACTCCTACGTGTAGTTTAGAGCGTGGTTTCAGGAGATCAGGAATAACGTTCCGCGTACTCGAATCGTTTGCCCTAGAGGTGCGAGGTGATAAAGAGACGTGAAGAGGGCTAGTCATGGAGATAAAAGAGGTATTAGGAGGTGTTGGAAGGATTTGAATGTGAACAACTTGGTCTCGTGTGCTGTTACGGGCATGAGAGCTGATATCACTTCCCGGCTGCCCACATCGTGGAAGGGTATTTCTTGAGGAACCTGAAAAGGAAGTTGAATTAATGTTGGTCTTAACAACCTGGGAGCGTGATTGAAGAGCCCAAGGGACAACTGCTTGAGGCCGGTCGCGTACGGCCTTTTTGTGGAAGGTTTTTAATGTGTGAGCTCCGGATACGGAATCCGTGAGGTAAGGTGAGGTGTGACATTTTTAGGGTCGACCTTTTCTAACCCCACCTCTCCTTGTGGGAAGGCAGCATCGCTGTCATGCTGGTTGTCCGAGAGAAACACCTTACTGCTGTTACACCCCTCTACAGTCAGCAGTACGACTTCACCCTCAGACCTTGAGTTGCTGCTTTTAGTCTTACCGTTCTCCAATCAACTTGCCTGGCATGGTAGAACCTACAGGAACATATCTTCTAGCCAATATAACTCGGTTGAGTCATCACCATAAGCAAGCCCGACCACCGCGTCAAGGTAGCAGCTTCGGTCAGGACAACAATACAAATAAAAAGTCATAGCTCATGGAACAAGCTACAGACTTTCGCCCTAGCATGCGATTCCTCATCAATGCGCACCCACTACTCCCTATCTGGAAATTGAACTCAGAACATTCGGCCTCCTAGACCACTGAGATGACATCCAACGTAACACATGTTTATCCAATCTTCTGGAGTGTAGATATCAATTTTATTTATAGAAATAATGATGAGTTTGAAATGTTATTAGAAAATAGTGAAACAGTAGAAACTCTTACGTAAACGTCCAGCAAGACCACTAAATAAAATTGATGCAGCATTCGTAAGTATATCGTTACGTTGATCGGTTTTAAGCGCATCGATAGCCATTCCACCACCAAATTTAAAACAAATGATCCATAAGATTAGTTTAGTCACTATAAATGATAATAAATGTGAAAAGGGCCAGTAAATTTATCATTCAATCAGTTAATTAAGTAATATAGCAAAGAGATAGACTAACTTTGTCAATTATTTTTCCAGAGAAATACAACTCTAAATTTCAAGTAATATAGGCATGGAGTTGGGGATTACTGAACTTTTTATAAACTGGATGATAGTATCAATCTTAAGGTAAGCAGTATGTAGTTAAAACGTCAGTAGGTGATTAACTGATTCGTCAGTGATTATTAGTTGTCTACAATAAAATGTAGGAGAAATCCCGCTAGTCTACTGCAATCATTTAAGAACTTGAGCGATATATACACCCGTTTCAAAACGTCATGAACTTATGTATAACCATCGTACGGTCCTATTTTCTTCCCTTAATATCTGTTCATACGCACACGTTGACCATCCATAATTACATTTGATTCCTGATGATTTGAATATTTTGTAAGCTATATATAAATATATATAGTTTTCTGAAGTATAAAAAGAGTATGTAACAGATCACAGTAAAAATAGATTACTGATAAAAGATAATTGTTAACTTGAAGAATATAAAAAAATTGTAAACATTCGGTAGTATTGAGTTATAAATTGTTGATAAACATTAAATACAAAAGTGAAGTTGTGCAACGATGAAACGGCTAATGAAAAATGTTAACATAAGAATATTTTATTGGAGAGAGATGACTATACATTTGATGAATATGAAAAACAGAATAATTACATTCGATAATAGCTGATTAGTAATTCGGAATAGTCCCTTTGATAACCAACCAGAGTAATGCTCGAAAATGAAATTATAAAGAGCTCTCTTTGTGTAGGAAGTATACTAATATAATTTACTGATGAACTACAAATATGATTACACAGCTTCAGTAAGTAATATCGCCACAAAACAGAGTTACTTTGATACATTGGCTATATTTATTCTTCAATGACACAGTGGAAATTCATTGCATTTCATGTATTTTAAATATTTCGCATAGCCACTAACTTTTACAGATAAAGTGTTTTATGAATGTGATTTTGTACACAATGTTCATAAAAAAATTCAGTTAACACAGAAAACTAACTACAATATTTTGTAGATTCGTATAAGCTCAATCGATAGAGGAATAGTGTATATGACCACAAGTAACAAATGGGAATTATTAGTAGTAGGGAAGAAAACATGATATGATATAGTGACTTCAAAAAATAGTTAATTAATCCGTATAATAGTGATAATACTAACAGTACATGATTGAGTAAAAAGAAGTACTGCTTTTGTTTATGTAGAAATCTGTCGTTGTACCGAGTATTTATTACTTCAAATGTTGTACTGAGATTTACTACACGTTACATTTTATTGCGATATCTGTCTGTGTTACTATTGGGAATTCTGGGATTATTTGCCATCAAATTACTTGTTGTGTATCTACAGAAGTTCTCAGTGAAGACCCTTTATACTCTTGCAACATGGATGCTTCTGCCATTACAAATTAACAGGTAAATATGACAAAAGGTATTTTGTGGGTCTAGGTCACAGCTTTTCAAATGAAGTTTGAAAACACAATTTATGAACATTAAATATAATTCTTACCAATTACGGATGCCATTATTCCCAATGCTAAATCATTAACGTTTGGTGCCTCTTGATTATTTTGTGACATACGAACAATGGCTTGTACAGATTCAGCTACAAGTTGTATAGATATACTACCCATAAATACAGAGAGTACAATCACTGCTAATGGTTCAAGTCGTGTTCTCCCTAAGAAGGAAATAAAATAACTGCATTTTAGAGACCTTATTTCTCTCTCACTTTCAGATGATTTTCAAAAACCCAACATTAGAATAAAAATGATTGATAAATATTTCAGTAAATTTAATAGTTGTAAAGCATAAATAATAAGTATCTTAGAAATTTACACTAAGATCTTAAGTAGTTACTACAATTATCTGGTTTAACAACATAGCTAAATGATGATGATAATTCACTTTCAACCATTTAAGAGCTCATGCGATTACATATCTAAGACTGGGATTATCAACGTTGAATAGAGAGAACAAATGATTAACAACATGCTGTGATGCATGTTGCTTACGCTTACGGGTACAAGTAGCATGTAGGAGCAATCGGTAATGAGATGCCTGCCAGCAACGGGTTGAGGAGTTTAAATTAAAGAAAACAGGAAGGACAACTGAAAAAGGTGCAAATAATTTATTCAATGTATCTTTTTCATATTATACGAAGGTACTTTGTAAGTTTGCACTAGACAATCAATTGGTGTACCACACCTGAGTTCTCGTTCGCTTCAATGCAACTGCGATAATTTTTGTTATCGGGTGTCACTGTTTATAAATTCTTGGCGACTGGACTCATAACTTAGTTCTATATTTTGTTAAAATTTGGTAACTAGTTACTGAAAGATATGCACTTTGTCTTAAACAATTTAGAAGTAGATTGCCATTATATGTTACTTATTCTTTCTTCATACTATATCTGAACATTTCAGTAGTTTTGGAAATAATCAGTCTAATTAAGTAAAGGCTTGTAAATAGATACCTACAGTAAATTGATGATGGTGTTCAATTAAAAATCGAATACCTTTACAATTTTTGTTCGATAACTAGATGAAGTGATAATTTGAGAATTAATATCGATGTATAAAACATCATTTAAAAAACGAGAACTCTAAAAGATTGCCAAATTTAGTCGCAGAAAAGTTATATGTTGACAAATGTTTAAAATGTGCAGAATTCTTCCAACACATCATTCACCAGTCCATATTTTGAGAGTCATTCATTCTGTTAGTGGAATCAACTGCATGTCGTATTTAAAAGACCACTTAAAACAACTGTAACAACAGTTTAAACTAACCAGCCTACAGACCGTAGATCATTTTATGAACAGTTAAAATATTTTTAAACTAAATTACCTTCTGGGTATTTGTATGGCTTCCTTTTACGCATTTGACGAGCAGCAAACCACATGATTCCACCGGAAGCCAAATCGACACAACTATCTAACAAAGATGATATGATTGCTAATGACCCTGATAATGCAGATGCTACAGCTTTACCCAATAAAAGTACCTATATTGATGTAATTCCAAATGGGCAATATGATAGTTAAAGTTATCAAGTTATTTTCATACATACAATGTAAAATCGTTAGACAAATAATAACACTATTAGAAAATTATATTTTTCATTTAAAATTTCACTGAATAAAATATAAATTGATTTCATGGTGAATGAAGTGTCACATTCATAAAACGTAAGGAGAATAAACTAGTGTAGGAATTATATCAAAATAAAACCAAACGTCTAGCGTAGAAAATTAGAAAAGAGGTTTTACTAGTTCGTTGTTTCGAAGAGGGTGAACTCATAGAAAATTGGTTGCTTAATCCACGACAACAGTAAACTTAATTTCCCTATACTCACTGGAATGGTGACAAATTTACACGGCACTTCAGTAACAAATGATTGTTTTGATCTTAGTCATCTAATAATTATATCAGCCTTATGCTATGGAAAAAACGATTTGATGTTTACGATCCGTAAACCACTAAACTTATATTACTAGAAATTAACATTTTGCGTTCGTTATGAATGACTGGTTATTTGAAATCATTAGTCGTCAATTAAACGGGTATTGTTTAAAGCGAAAGTAATAAAGCAGATGGAAAATCTGCAGATGGTGAACTAAGATCAATCGAAACACCGGATGACAGATTAGTAGTTTGTAAACTTATTATATATTCTAAATAATTTTCCTATGTTACAATAGCTAGATGGAAACATGTAAACGCTGAGCATTAATAACTTATTAGAATTTACCAAGGATAGTTCATTCTGCATTATAATGAAATTTCCTTCCTTTCCGTTTTAGTAATTTTCATAAACTAATTATTAGTGATATTATACTTACCACGTTGGCACAAAATACAACACCAATAATCATTGTATTAATTCGCGTTTGCCGCCTAATAGAATGATGATTGGAGGTTACTTCTACATCGGAGGTTTCTGCCTCCATAATAGTTGCGATCTTCTCCAATTCACGAATATGTTCATCTTGTCGTCGATAAAACTCCCTAATTTTGCAAAAAATATAAAATATGGATATCTAAGTGAATTTAACAGGGTTAAGTCAACTACATAGCAATCTCAGAACATCTAAATACCCCAACTCCGTATTTCCCTGAAAGATGCTGTTGTCTGTTCGCGTCTTTTATTCGTTCCTATGCGACCTAACGGGTTGACATTTATGAGCTAAAATCGGCAAATTGACAAGATCTATATTAAAACCAAAATGAATTTAGCCTACGTATTGGATTCTATTGATATAATTAAGAAGGCCTGAAAACCCTATTCATGGTGTTGACAGAAAATAAAAGTAAAGGTCTTGAATGCTGTTAAAAATATGCAGGCGATTATCACTTCCCGGTTGCCCACACTGTGGAATGGTTTTCCTGGAGGTACCTGAAAAGGAAGTTGGATTAGAGGTGGTCTTAGTGACCTAAGAGCGTGACCACAATGCCCAAGGTACAACTGCATGAAAGGTCGGTCACACGCGACTTTCGTGTGAGTAATTTTTGTGTTAGCTCCGCAATTATTGAAGTCGTACCGCCAGAGACGGATATCCATCGGATAAGCCAAGGTATGCATTTTTAGCGTCAACCTATTCTAACCACACCCCTCCTTGTGGGAAGGCAGCATCACTGTCATGCTGGTTGGCTATAGAACTGTAATCCTTAGATGCAGCATTTACAAAACAATGATAAGCGTGAAATAATTTACTTTAAGTAACTCACACAATATATTTACGTTTTTTATGGTTTATGTAAGTTAACACTTAAAGAAATGATATTTTTGTCTATTTATAAAAAGAACTTGAGAATTCGACTGTTTGATACTGAATGCTACCTAAATATTGCTTTCACTTATTTGTTTTGCATTGTAGAAAAATGTTATTCTACATCTGAAGTAGCAAGCAAATTCAATGAATATTCGATGACGGGAATAGGATCTATTCAATAATCTACGCAATGATGATAAAAACCGCTTACATTTTCTACCACTTTCTATGCATTGAATTCAAGAGTTTCTTATACTTGCATTTACGTTTCACCTACTCGCCATCATTAAATTAAAAAGGCATTTTATTGCGATCCGTGATACATTTTGCAGAAACAACGTGTTGTTAAGAAACAGCTTTTGTAGACAATCGCAAAACTTACATGACTGACTTTGAAGTCGTCTCAGTTTTCTTAATGTTAGAGCTTAATCTCTTCTGAAAAATTTCAATAGGATGCGTTTTCCATGTTTCACCTGTGACGCAGTTATAAGAATGGAATAACAACAACAGAAATAAGTCACAAATTATTCCAAGCGTTTACTTAGTTTCTAAAACGTAAGTGACAGCTTGATGTAAAAACTTGGAATTACCTATGACAGTACATTTTATAAATGGGTAAATCTTGCTGATAACTAAGTTGGGTAAGGTTGAACACGTAGGCCTTAATATGAAATAACTTCCAACTGCTCTAAATAAAACCATAGTGAGTATCATGACCAAGGTTTGACTTGGTAATTCCGAATAAATTGAGCATTGGGTAGATTGTTATAAATATAATAATATAGTTGTAATATAAGAAGGGATTTTGTGGATATAATAGTAATTTGAATAGTTGAGATCATGAGTTAATTGAAGCTAGACCACCATGGAAAACCCGGAAGCACTGGACGGCCGTTTCGTCCTATTATGGGACTCCTCTGCGGTGGATGTATCGCCCAATTTCGTGAATTAGTTGAAGTTATACATTAACACCGTTGCATGCCGGTTCAGTGGTCTAGAGGTTGAGCGTTCGCGCGCGAGACCGATCGTTCCTGTGTTCGAATCTTGCGAGGCGCGATTGTGGATGCGCACTGTTGAGAAGTGCCATAATAGGACGAAACGGCCGTCCAGTGCTCCCAGGTTTTCTATGGTGGTCCAGCTCCAGTTAAATCACGATCTCAACTATTAAAATATTTGTGATATCCAAATGGGTAGATTTTCTGAAGTTTCGTATCTAAGTGTAAGCCATTTCTTCAGAGAGTAAGTAATCAAATCAAAATTAATCCAAGTTTAAATGGTACGAAGGAACAACTATTTATACTTGGAATAATTTTGATTTGGCTATTTACTCTCTGAAGAAGTGGCCTACACTGAATCACGAAACGTCAGAAAATCTCATTTTTTCTACTCATTGGGATATTACAAATACATTATATATCATAGTAAATATCATTTTTTAAAACTTAGTGAATTTTAAATTTTTATTTACCGACACTACACTCATTTGAAAGGAGGACCTGTAGACTGTAAGGTAGTTGCTAACATAATTACCTTTAAAAATCAGTATCTATATTACCACCTGAATTTCAGACAAGTATTCAAAACGCCTAAAAATATTTATTTGTACTTAGATGAATAGTTAACACAGCTGGTGTGTGAATAAATGCTTAACGTTGTGTTAATCTGTTATAATAAAAAATTACAATCTCCTTTTGAACATTTTACATTCAACTTCTTGATTGGGTCTTATCGAAGCTCGAGCCTATTTGAAATAAATAGCAATTCGTTAGCCTATTCATAACACATCTGGAGTAGTGGATAAAATGGATTCTAAAAATATTGAGAAGTTACCTATCGTAGCGTTACCTTTGGAATTGAAAGATTACCTGGACTGTTTCAAAGCTTGGAATTTACCTTAATTCCAGGGAAGATAACACTTTAGCCAATTTATAAATTCCATTGATAGAGAAGCCTATGACCCATTAGAGAATGCTGAGTGAATACAAAGATAACCGCTTGTTTTATTCGACAAACTAAGACTACTGAAAAACTGTTTATAACTGACATGAAATCACACAGTTCAGCAAACTACCTCATGCTCTGAAATAGACAATAAGAGGTTTTATACCAAAGCTTCAAACACAGGCTTATTAGTACAGTCTCGGTAAATAACTCCGTACTCAACCTCGCAATTATCTGACTTCAAGTTTCAGGAGTCCTAAACTCAGGAAATAACTCATACAAAATCATAAGCGTACTTTTCAAATTGCCAAACATTTCCGTTCTGAGTGAGAATATGTCACTAAAGGTCTTAGCAACGGTTTTACGATACAAAATGGTCGCACACTCGATACAGAAGTTAACTAATAGCACGGTCAAGTTCCATTTACGAATTATTGATCATAGTAACATAGAGTCAAGCATTTCGGAGAGAAATCTTTTCAGAGAGGGTTTATCTTCTTAATATATAAACTGATTCTATTTTGTTTGGAATAGATTATGAAGAATAAGTTACATAGACTGGTTAGAAAAGGGATAGCAATTTGTTTTGGCGAGATACGCCATATAGTTTAATAAAATCTTAGTGGAAGCTAATTAGCTAAACACAAAGGCTTTAATATGTTTTAAAATGAATTGATCAAGACCCATATATCTAGTGAGAAAATAGGTAGCAAACTTCAGGTTTTGGGAACAAGAGTTGATTACGGTAAGAGTACAAATTTGACAGTGTTTTGTTTAACAGCAAATTTAAGGAATCCCCGTATCTAATGAACCTTGAAGTACAAAACTATGGCTGATCCACTTCTAGCTATCATAATAATCTTAGAGTTGATAATACAAGCCAGTAACATTAGAAATGTAGTCTATTTACAATTAATCTTTCAGAATACTTTAACGTACTGAGTTTAGGCAATAAAACTATTCTTCAGGAAGCGATTTAAAGTGCATGACCATTTTAACTTCAGGGTCTATTAAACTACTCAAGATTCCTAACATTTCAATGGCTCTGATGTTAGTAAAAGTAAACAAGGTGTACAACCATAGTTGCACAAATAGTGGAATAGGTTGACAAGTTGTAAAACAACTCAAAGTAAAATCGTCACCAGACTCAAACAAGCAAAGATACCATGTATTTCCTGTTCAAATAGAAAAAGACCAACTTTACGCTTGATACCAAAAGAAAATCGATTGTCTGTTGTTTAGTCTACAGAAAATTAGCAGTCTAGCTCTCTACTATGGTGATCGACTAGATCATGAAGACGTCTTACCCAAACAAATGGCATCAGTCTCATCAGTGAACGTTTCAATGAGAAGCTAGATCTTCACTGGAAAATAGGCTGGAAGAATAAACACAGGTCCACCGAACTACTATCCTGACTGAAGGTCCATCGTTGCTATAATGGCACATAGAGAGTTAATACGACCTGTCGTCACGTCGGATCTACATTCTCAGGACTTTGATCCAGTGGTACTGCTATTATATTGTTCCAGCCTCTCCTGCTTCCCATCTTGCTAATTTCATCTCAGCGTGCGGACGCCTTATGGTATTTCGGGGTAATGAGAATTTCTACCAGATTCTACGTTGATGATGATTAACTGGCTTTACACATTTTTATTTCCAAACGGCTAAAAACTGATGATAACCAATTTCTTGCTAGTATTCAGCAAAATACTGCGATATATCATGCCAATATCTGTCACAACGACTAGTCATCCGAGTATTTATACATAAAGTCGGGAATCCCAAACCAACGACCAACTCAAATGTTTGGATAGTGGTTCATCCCAACTAATACCAAACAAAAATGGTTGGTTGTTGAAATGCTTAAAGATTATTAGTTTTTCAAGGCCTACCGAAGCAAAGGAATAAAGCGTTATTTTATATTTCACAGATCCGATTGTGATGGGAAACCTGAGTAATCACTGCTACATTACTCATCGACTTTGAGTATCCAAACTTGGATACTATTAGTAGTAAAGTGACGGTAATATTTACCATATACTGATAGAAAAATCATATTATTAGACTACTTATGGTCGCACAAGTGAAAACTAAGGACATTTAGTCACTCTTACCACACCACTATTCACCAAGCTGGGGAGTCAAACAGTACTGTTTGGTAACGTGCGTGTTGTTGGGATAATTTTTATATTCATAAAAACTTATCCTTATAGCAGTCAGAGGAATATCATGTAAACTACACAAAATAATGTTCAAGAACTTGCATGGTGAATTAAGAGGAATTGAATTGTTCTCTGATAAAGTGTTTCCTGACTCTATTTCCTCTAACTTTTTTGAAGCCATTGATATCGAAGTACAGAACAAGCGACACTTTAACTCAGTCTCCATTGCATTTTCTATTTGCTTTCCTAACATTGATAGATAAAATAAAGACTGACAGAAACACCGATCAAGGCAATATCGTCTGCTAACTAACAATGAGCATAAACGTGCGCGAAATTCTAACGAGTGTGTATGCGAGTCAATATGTAGTTGAAGAGACTAAACACAAGCCGCATAATTTACAAAATATTCTATGCAATTATAAGTAGTCGATATATTGATAACCCGTCAAATATTCCTTTGACCCCTCCCCCTCACTTCCGACTTTTGACTTCACTTGATGGGTACGCTTCATATTAGAAAGTGTTACTGGTTAAAGCGTTGTCAAGCTCCAAATACCTTTGGTCTCTTCATACTAAATTGGAAGGTTTGCCAAATATTAAAATTTCAACTGTCTAAAACGGAATACTGCCATGACAGTGTGGAAGTACACATTGACCTGTCCACCCGAGTGATTAAACACAGTTTCATTCGACTGTGTTCGTCATTTCCTACGTTTGGTGTTATAACGCCGGTTATGTACCACGTTGAAGTTTCGGCACCGATTATTATTATTTCTCTTTCGCATCACGCCATCGGTGCCACCATGTGCAGAGGAACGTTTGTTAATTAAGTAAACTCGTTTGTAGTTGATATCACTTTATTATTATATAACTCTTTTGTGAGTGCTATGTGTTACTGTTTTGTTTTATCCATAAACAATCGCTGCTGTTTATAGTGTTAGTATTCTTTTTGGTATATTGTTGACAATTTTATGCATTGGTACACCTTGAGTGGGTTCTTCCACTAGGATCCACCATACATCTGACGACTCTGATACTACACTTTTCTTGTAGTTATTTTCGTTTATTAATTGTTAATAGCAGAGTGACTGAAGAAACAGTGGTAACGAGAAGGGGTAAATATTTGTTCGGTTGCAGATATGTACGTGAAAATACCACAGGTATCCGGAGTTTGACATCAATTTATCCAGTAACACTCTTAATTGTGAATCGTACCCACCAAGTGAAATCAAAAGTCAGAAGTGAGGAGGTTCGAAGGCATATTTGATAGGCTATCAGTATATCGGGGACCGGCTGATCTAATCTGGCTAGCGATTGCAGGGGATGTTGAGCACGACGCTCTCACTAGTGATCAGGTGTGGATGTTTGACCGAGCGCCTTCAGCTAGGTGAGTCCATTGAGACTAATGTAGTCAGCATCTAATGTTGAAAACTTACAGAGCTATTTATTTTGTGGATTTATTTACCGCTGTAGATTACTACCCAACTATGGGGGAGTGATGACTCTTAGAGTTTGCGAGTCAGAAGTTTAAACCTAACGAGTTTATCGTTGCTAAACACTCTTCTGATAGCTTGCCATCTTCAGCACAGTTTGGTTGTCTTTTCTTACTGTAAGAGAACATGTGGTACAATATAATAATAGAGAAACAGGTACAATGAAGATTTTGGTTCATCGTTACTTCGTCGTTCTTTTTCCGTCATTTCCAGCCGTCCTGGAAAAGAAATAAAGGATTTTTAAAAAGTGGTGTTTCCTGTTTTTTTTAATAACAACATAAAATACACATATTAATGAGCATATTTTCCAAAAAAATTTTTAAATAGATATATAAAGAGGAGCATATTAAAATCGTTTTTTATGTTGTATATGATACGAAGAAAAGTCGAGATGAAACAAAATGTTAACTAAGGTCTTACGTGCAATAATCGTTTCAATGTTCTGAAAACCTCATTGTTCTTCCAGAGCGCGTTATCTTGAGTTTAGTTTCAGATACTGCCAAATTACCATCGTCCTTGTTGGCTGTCGGACGAGGTATTATATGTGTAGAAGTCGTGTCTTTCGGTTGTACCTAGAGAAAATCTACATGGATAGGGTTCCCTTCTGGATACGCTGCTTTGATGCGCTCGATGTTAATTCTATCGTCAGTTCCGTTCTTAGGTTCGTGCTGAAGAACTTTGAATGGTCCTTCGTATGTTGTTTCGAGAGGTCGTCCATGTGAGTCTCGTCGTACGAAGACGTGTGTACCATATAGTAAGTCAGGTTGAACGAAAACACCAGTTGATTGCGGTCGGATGGAAACAAGTTTAATTGAACGCATTTCGTTTGTAAGCCTGCTCGTGTAACAGGTTGGATCTATATTCACTGAAAATGAGGGATCCTCAAATTTTCCTGGAAGTTGAGGTGTTATTCCATAAATGAGTTGAGCCGCAGTGTATCCAATGTCAGCCTTCATTGCATTGCGAATGCTAAGTCTGACGAGCGGAAGAGGGTTGGTCCACTGTGAAACGTTTGCGGCTGATAGTGAAGCGTTCTATTGATGCATTTGCTTGTGGATGGTAATCGGCCGTTCGGAAGCCAGTGATTCCTAATAGTGTGGTCAGACAATGGAAAATTCCAGATTCGAACTGGTTTCTACGATCTGTAGTGATGGTTGAAGGGCAGACGAAGTTTGCTACCCATCGTTTGACGAAGGTGAGGGCCACTGTTTCAGCAGTAATGTCTTTGATAGGTACTGCTTCTGGCCATCGAGTGAAACGGTTTACGCAGGTTAAGAGATAAGAATACCCATTTGAATCTGGTAAACGTCCTACCAAATACAGATGAACGTGGTCGAAACGAGCGTCTGGAGTTTTGAAGGAGCCTAAGGGACATTTGTTGTGTCTAATCACCTTAGATTTCTGGCAGCTTATACAGGAGCGTGCTCATTCCCCTACGTCTTTGCTCATACCAGGCCAGCGAAATCGTTCTGCTGTGAGCTTGATGGTTGCACGAACACCTGGATGAGAAGGTTTGTGCAACGTTTTGAAGACATTGCGTCGATAATGTTTCGGCACTATTGGACGACCCCTACCTGTAGATGTGTATGACCTTTCCTTGAATATTGCTCTTTTATCTTCTATAATATGAGTACCACAGACATGAGTAGATGATCATAGACGCTTCACATGCCAACTGCTAGGAAGTAACTCCAATATCGATTACACAGATAGATGTAAGAACCTCTCTTCAGAACTATTATGGCACCGTACGCCTGCTCAACTATGATCCATGACTCAGCCTATAGACTAATAAACGATACATGTACACTACTTACCATGAAACACCAAAAACAAATGCGTTGCAGGCTTTTTACAGTGCGGCATAGATTATTGTGGAACAGGTCGCCAATACCTACCCGTAACTGTGCCCCTGACCCTCACTTTCAGTTCCCAAATCCTTCTAATGCTTAAAGAAACATTATTCTTCCTAAGTGTCATGTTCTTTTATTTTTATTGCAAGTAGACAGAAAACTCACCAATCTTTTGGATGCTAATCAACTGAAGCCGACCATAAGAAGCTCAAAATGTTCTAAAGTCTTGAGAGATGCTCAGTGTTCGATTATTTTTACATTAAAAATTCGAGAATTTTATACTCTTTCATATCCTTTGATTTGCTATTAGTCCTTACCATCTCTTAACAACATATAATCTAACCTGTTTTTTAACTTTCAGTATTAGTTATCTTCATAGCGAACACAGAAACTTAAAGGAAGGGGATGTAGTTCTAATGGCTAACGATGCAACTAATCGGGGCTCTTGGCCGATGGGACGAGTCGATAAGTGCGAGACAGATAGAGATGGGTTGGTAAGAACAGTGATGGTGCGTATGGGAGAAGGGGCAGTAAGAAGAGATGTGCGAAAGCTCTGCCTTCTAGAGGGAGCCGAGTAATTGTAGGTTAGGTTTATGGAAGTACAAGCGTACTGTTGTAAGTCCTGTGCTTCCCATTGAGATAGAGCGGTTAGTAGGGAGAGCCATGACAGAAATGTATTCTAAGGTGTCTTTGCATAGCTGGAGAGATTTTGAGAGCCGGTGTAACGGAAAGAAAACGATGAAAATCCCTCTGCAGCTTCTTTGTTGAATAGTATTGTCATTTATTTGTTTCTTCTTCCTATTGTGCATTTTAACCTTTGTTCCGATTTCGTTTAACCATATCTTTTGTTTTTCAGTCTTCCTCGTTTAAGCCTTTATTATGGGATTTTGATTAAAGACATATCCTTTGTTACCTAATTTTCTATTGCATGTTGTCGGACCATTGACAGTAAGGTCGTGTTTGACTAAGCTCAAGGTCACGGCATGGTTCAGTGTGTGATTGTGAACCATCTGACTGTCTGCTTGGGAGGATCGCTGGTATCCCTGGAGATAGATATCTGATCCCATCTTGTTGGGAATATTTGTATTGATTTTTCGTGCCTTAAGGTAACCCTCGTGCTATTGATAGAAGAAACCAGAGAAGTAGTGAATAGGTCTTTATTTCGATCTTCGCGCAGTCACAGTGGAGCGTGGGATTATCTGTTCAGACAAACAAAGGCTCTCAACATTCAAGATAATAGGGAATATAACGCTTATGAAAAATAAAGAAGTGAATGAATACTTGAACAATACTGTTTTGGCATAAGCTTGGTTGTTTGGGGTCAACTCTTAACCAATCAACCCAAGCTGTTACATTAGCTTCCCCCTAGAATCGACTTCCGTAGGAACGTCGGTTCGATTAACCTATCTATCGAAAACACCTTAGTTCTATTTCTCATCCCAAGGGAAAATTATCAACTCGCTCACTATTTGACTTACAATCAGTGACGACTAACGCTGTCATGGATGTCTCCTCATTTACTAGCTTGTCATCTTATTTTGTAGCATGTGATCTATTCTACAACTATCGCTGACGGTTTACTGCGTGCTTTCAAGAAAAAGAGTGTGAGAATGTGGAATAAGAATATCTGAGGAAGTGCCGCGAGCGGGCTACCCAACACCATGTTGGTGAGGTACGATTTTTGCATGCTCAGACCGGCTATCAGGTGTTTACTCACCTGCCTCTTTAGTCGCCCTCAAGTAAAAAGTAAAGAAGAATCTACTTCAAAGGTAATGGTGAAAACCAATCACACCTGAAGAACTGCTCCACTGCCCGCATAAAAATAATAAGATACAAAATGGAAATACAAAACTATAATTTATAATTGTTCGGTTCCACGTAAGTGATTGGCCTCCAGAAAGGAT